CTTACACATGCATCAATACGCCTAGGACTCGGCTTCAACACCCGTACAACCCCTCATCACTAAACCTAGCTAAACCCAAAAGCCCTACCATGGGGGCTCCAACAACTAGACTAGGGTTTTGGGATATGGGTGGTTGTCAAAAGTATGGTCCCCTTTTGGGTCCTTATTATAATACGGCACCTATTATTTAGGGTACCCGAAAAGGTACCCAAACTTTGACAACTACCCATTTCGTATAGATTTATTATGGCAGGAGCTCGGAGGACTAGAATGGCTTTTGTACTTATTCAGGCCTCGTTATTATACCCTAAACCCCACCTGTAGCCCAAGAGACCTACCTTTTGAGGGAACTATATATAGAAACCATAATAAGGAACCCCAAACAAGTAGGTCTTTTCGGCTGCAAGTAAACCCTCATGAATCCCTAAACCCTAAACCCCCATTAAACCCTAAACCCTCATGAAATCTTGAACCCCAAACCCTCATGAAACCCTAAACCCTTATGAAACCTTGAACCCTAAACCCTCATGAAACCCTAAATCCTCATGAAACCCTAAACCCTCATGAAACCCTAAACCCTCATGAAACCCTGAACCCTAAACCCTCATGAAACCCTAAACCCTAAACCCTAAAAACCTGAAACCCTGAAACCCTAAACCCTCATGAAACCCTGAAGCCTAAACCTTCATGAAACCCTAAACCCTCATGAAACCCTAAACCCTAAACTCTGAACCCCCCCCCCCCCCTAGCTGCCCCAAAGTCCTCTGAGACGCCGCACACGACTGCCCGATGTCGCGCCAGCGCGGAAGCAGCGATCGCCCGCTGTCTCGGCGTAGCCTCGCGAGAATGGAAGGCTCAGGTTTAGGGCTTTTTTGGGGTTTAAGGGTTTAGGGTTTAAGGGTTTTAAGGGTTTAAAAGTTTAGGGTTTAGTGTTTTAGGGGTTTAAGGGTTTGGGGTTTAGAGTTTTAAGCTTTTGGGTTTTCGGGTGAAAAGGTTTAGGGGTTTAGGGTTTAGGGTTTGAGGTTTCAGGTTGGTTAATCACTGCCCACGGCTCAAGGCTATTGGAGGTTGGAGCTTTTAGTTGATACTTCAAGGTCTAGGTTCAGGGTTGCCGCCTTAGCGTTTTAGGAACTAGGATCTCGATTGGGGCCTCAGGTGCCTGGGGCTGCAGCCGTCAAGCTCTTTGTTTTTGCACGGTTTGGCGTGTGCGGGAGAGGTGGAAGATACGATTTGCAGGTGAGGTTCGGGGTGTCATGCTTTGCGGAAAAAATGCAAGGCACCGGGTGCAACTTAACGAGACCAACTCGTCGAAACGGCATGCTGTCGACCTCTGCATGGTCATTCAGGCGGATGTGTCGCTGTGTTCCGACTGGTCCCAGCCCTGCCTGTCGGGAAGGGCTTGTAACGCAACGTCCAGTGCCTGGCATCGTGGGGTGCTGAAAATGAAAGCTTCGAGAGGAATCAGCGAGACGAGTCCTCCACAATCCTTATGTTGTGAAGAAGGTATTATCACCCGAAAACGGTGCAGACCTGCTAATACAAGTACTAGTACTTCTACTACGACGACGGCTATACGACCATATGACGACTGCCTGTAGTACAACGACTACTACGACTGCTGTACAGTTCCACGACGACCACTACCACCACTACTGCCGCTGCCGCTACCACTACCACTGCCACTACCACTACGGGTGCGACTACTGCTACAAATTCTACTGCGACTAATACCACTACCACTACTACAAACATCAACAGCTACGACGACCTCGACGACCTCTACGACGACTCCTTCTGCCCCCGCTGCTCTTGCTGCCTTCTTGCTGCAATTCCGATGCAGAGCTTAATATCAGCGATGACAACAATAATAATAAAACTCGTCATAATAATGAGAACAACAGACATCATCATAACGGTCATAAAAAATAATCACTTAACAACAATCATAGCAACAATAGTCATAATAATGCTAGCAATGGCAGTAATCGTAAAGCAACAGCCCAGCTGCTGGAGAGTCAGCTCGTAGACCGCAAAAGTCCAGAGCATGGATGTGTCCAAGGTGGGGAACCTCAGGCTTTCTGACGGTATACAGGGTTTGGGCTTAGGGTTTAGGGTCAGGGTTTGGGTATGAGGTTTAGGGTTTAGGGTTTAGGGTCAGGGTTTGGGTATGAGGTTTAAGGCTTAGAGCTCCATGTTGGGGGGTTGGGTACCCGGATTTCGGGGTTTACAGTTTGAGTATAAGCTCTTCGGGGGTGGCTTTAGGAAGGCCCCTGGACAGTTGTGAACAGCAGTTGAAGTGCGATAGTGCTTATTTAAACCTCCCTGCTTATGGTACCTCGAGCAACAGCAATAAGCCTAATATCAAGGCCCCTTTAATTTAAGGTCTATTCCTTGATTACGGACTATTGACTCGTTCTTTCTACCAATAACCTAAACTAAATCCGAAACCCTAAACCCTAAAACCCTATACCCTAAACCCCAATTAAACCCTAAACCCTAATTAAACCCTAAACCCTAATTAAACCCTAAACCCTACCTAAACCAAAAGGTCCCACCAGACCAGCGGCCCAGTGATGTCTGCCTCCAGCGGTGCTTCCTTGAAAGTCTGAAACTCGCTGGGGGTTTTCAGGGCTCTCCTCGGCGAAGACTTCTGCGGCTTCAGTGAGGGTGTTCTGGGTTTTACAGATTTAGGATGTAAGCTGTTATATTGGTTTGAACGCGTTTGGCAGATATACAGAAGCGACTTGAGACCGACAATACCAAGACATGTCTGGCCAGGATCTCCGAATTTCACTGCTTCATCTTGCATGCGGTGCTTGTTTCAGCAGTTGCAGAGTCTGCAGCTATCGTTGTGCCTTGCTGCGACTGGCTGCTGATGCATCTTGTGGTTCAGCTTGCAGCTCCGAATTTGGCAGCGACGGTTTAGGAATTAGGGTTGTCGGTACTGTACCGGTTTGGATGCTTCTACCACCAGTGCAGCCATCAACTAAGAAGAACATGAGTGGACAGAACATCAACAACCAACAAAGAGAGACGTCGTCCTGTCGTGCTGTCCCCCTTAACCACTTAACCACAAACCCTAAACCTTAAACCCCATCGTCGTCGTCGGCGCGGACAAGAGCTTGGCCCTTTAGCCAAAGGTCGTTGCGGCAACCAAGGCTTCGAATGCCGTGGGTAGGCTGCTCCTGAGAGGCAGAAGATGTGTGCAATATACAAATGCATGAATATACACATATATATATATATATACATAGCTATAGGTCTAGGTATAGATATAGTTATAGATATAGATCGTGTATGCGAAAAATGCATACACACGGTGTATGTATCCATGCGGCTATGTTCCGGGTGTAGGAGAGCTTCGGGGTTCGACGCTTGATGCTTCTCGTGCTTAGAAGTCCCACCGTAGGGGCTTTGGGATGTAATATACGGGGAACTGTTCTAATTACTAAGGCCCCTGTACAGCCCTTATAGTAGCCCTTATTTATAGACCCCCTTTACTATTTACAGGAACCCTTATAGAACCCCCTATAGATCCCTTCATAGGGTGCTGGGACTCAGAGCTTTGGTGTTGGAGTTGGATTGACGGGTTTCTGGAGTGCTTGAGGGTTCGGGTGCGGGGTTTGAACATGGTGTCGAGATTTCAAGGCGTAGAAGTCAGGGTTAGGCGGTTTAGAGTTCAGGTGAAAGAGCTAATTTTCACCGGATGACAAGTTTTTTGCAAGGCTCAACTGTGCTTTGCAGGCTTATTTCTGGGCTGCAGAGAAAAGGTTTGCAGGTTTCTTCCGAGCTTGATTCTTGCCTGCTTAGCACCCAAGCTTTTGCGGACAGCGGTTTCTAGAGGGGCACCTTAAGCTGTGGGCTTCACACACTTCGGGTCCTACTGCTTAAGTGCTTGAAGTGGGCGTATAGGGCTCTTCCACGAGGGTGGTGCCAACAAAGGCTTGCAGAAGTTTTGGCTGGCGAAGTGTCAACTTCACCGGTGGTCCGAAAGCCCTTTCCCAAACCCTAAACCGCAAAACCCTAAACCAAAAAACCCTTAACCCTAAACCCCTAAAGCCCTTTCCTAAACCCTAACTCCAAGATAGGACTGGACGCTCTCTCCCGGGCGCCGGACCAGAGGAGCGGTGAGAGCAGGATCAGCATCGATGTGCCGAGCAGGGAGGCGCCTCAGTTGCTTCTGTTTTCACTGTCGCAACAGATTGTTTCATGTTTGAACGATTGGTGGTCAAATTTGGCGTTTCTCCACAACAAATACTAGGGTGCTTTCTTACCTTATGTTTAATACCCTGACAGGAACCCTAATCAAGGAACCTTGTAGTACGTACCCTTACAGGAACCCCGAATAGTACCCTTCAAGCAAGCCTGGATCAACGCCGCTTTCTGAGTGCAGCTGGTCAGCTAGCTAAACAGCCCGGCAGATTTCACTGCGTTTGGCGCTAGTAACTGTGATCCTTCTTGCAAAAGTCAATCCCTGCTGGTCTCTCCTGAACCACTTGCATCCACATATCTTCCGCTTCTTCTTCTTCTTCTTCACTGGGCCCTTCATGGTTCTACCCTTCACCCCTGTCCTGCAGCTCTTCACCAACCTCCTGACCAACCATATGGTTAAGGGTGTGTAAGGGAAATAGGTTTTGCTTTGACAGTGAGTCCCGAAAGGTCCGAATACCAATATCATGATTCTAGTAACAATTCCCCAACCATCTGTATGGATTAATTATACCTGATTATGCTGTTAATGCAAAAACGCACGACTGCTTAGGGCCTGGTGAAGGGTTCCACAAATTTCGTGGTCCAGGATTTGAGCTCAGACCGTGGTCGGGGACAGTTTTGCGTCTGCTCAACCATGAATCCAAGGGTAAAGGGAGGGACCCTTAATAAGGACCCCCTAGGTATATACCCTTAATATAGCCATCATATACCCATTATATGGTCCCATCTGAATGAAAGAATCAACACTGCACTGAAGCAGCTCCAGCGCACCTAGCTGAGCCACAAAGCTGTCACAGCAGATAGACAAGAAGAGCTAATATAGGAGCCTGAGTAATTGCCTAGACAATTTTGGGAGTTCCTGATTACGTTTAGAGTTACTGGGCCCCAAAACCCTATTCTAACCATTAAGGCGCCTATACTATATAGTAACATTATAGACCCCTGATGGTTTCTAATTACGAAGGCCTCTGTATTGAGCTACTTCGAGCAACAGGATCACCATGGCCAACCTCAAGAGGACCATACAAGCCAAACACAACCATGAGCCGAACTTGGATGATGTACGGCCCCCCCATAACCCTCATAATATGCATATATATATATATATATATATATATATATACATATACATATATATATATATATATACACATACATATATACATATATATATATATATATACACATAAAACACACACACACACATATATATATATATATATATATATATATATGGAAGGGAGTTTCATAACATAGGGCACCCTAATATAGGACCGTAAATAGTAGGATCCTGATTATAAGGACCCCAAAACAAGGTACCCCCCCCAATTTTCGGAAACTCCCACATATCTCAACACATACACACACATACACATACGCATATATATATATATATATATATATATACACACACACATACACCTTTCTATCTACCTATCTATCTATCTATCTTCTATCTTCTATCTATCTCTCTCTCTATATATATATATATATACACACATATTAGCTACTCTACTCGTCAGGAGCCCAGCGGCCCACTTCCCGGAAGAAGTCCGGGCAAGCCGCCGGGTCGGCGCGCAGGGCGTGCACGCGCCATCCGAGAGGCCCGGAGAGCGCCCCTTGGCTTTTCGGGCTTTAGGGTGTAGGGTTGGTTTGGAGTTTAGGGTTGAGAGTTTAGGATTTAGGGTTTGGGTTGGTTTAGGGTTTAGGGTTTGGATTGGTTTAGGGTTTAGGGTTCGGGCTGTTTGTTTTCTAACCTATGATGGCGGGCTTTTCCACAGTCAGCCTGCCCAGCTTAGGGCCCATAGAGTGCAAACAAGACGAACCACATCGACATGCAACTCTTAGGCGTCCGGATCGTGTAGTAGAGCTGGGTTGGTTGAGGGTTTAGGGTTTGTTTAGGGTTTGGGGTTTTCCCCTTGCGCAACCCTTGTTGTAACCCTTCAAGGAACCAATCGACAATCTTAATACCCCAAAGCCCCCAAAACTCCCAAACCCTACAATGCAAAGGGCTCTACTATATCTCATTAAGAAGTAACTAGGGGCTACAATCAAAGGGTAGTTGGGGGCCTAATATAGGGCCTTAATAATTAGAATAGGATTCTGCGGCCCATTATACGATAAATGTAATAAGGACCCCCCCCCCCCCCCCCAAACTAGTATAGGTGATTGTTAAGGCCCCTACACTAAATCTTTATCATAGCCCTTGTAGTAGACCTTATAGACCCCTATCAAAGGGAACCCTTCTAGAACCGCCCTATAGATCCCTTTCAAGGCCCCTTCAAACCCTTAAGCTCTCCATCTGGGAGTCTCCGAAAATAGGGGACCCTAATATAGCACCCTAAGTAGTAGGATCCTTATTATCAGGACCCCACAACAAGGTACCCCCCCCCCCCCCAATTTTCAAAAGATCCCTTTAAAGGCCCTAAATAGTAGGATCCTTATAATAAGGACCCCACAACAAGGTACCCCCAATGTTCGGAAACTCTAAACCCTAAACCATTTTATAGAATCCTTATAGATCCCTTTAAAGGAACCCTTAAAGGAAACTCCCATCTTGAGTCAGCTCCACGAAGCTCCGAGGCCACGCCGGGCCAGCCGTGGCCGCAGAAGACCACGTCCACGTCTTCAGGCGTTCTGGGTCCTCGGAGTTTAGGGTTTAGGCTTCCGGGTCCTCGGAGTTTAGGGGTTTAGGCTTCCGGGTCCTCGGCTTCGGGGTTTAGGGTTCCGGGGCCTCGGCTTCGGGGTTTAGGGTTCCGGGGCCTCGGCTTCGGGGTTTAGGGTTCCGGGGCCTCGGCTTCGGGGTTTGGGCTTTTTTTTTGTTAAGCCTCTTTTGCTTCTGCCCATTCGGTTAGTTGGAATGCCATTCTGGCTGAGGGGTTTAGGGTTTAGGGTTCCGGGTCCTCGGTCGTCATTTCATAAGGACCCTTAGGGGGGTAGGGGGGAGAGGGGGTAGGGGGCCTTAATACCTATCATAAGGACTTTATGAAGCCTATTTAAGGAAGTATATTCCCCCACCCCCATCCCGTCCCCCCTACCCCCGCCAAGGGTCCTCGGTCGTCATTTTCTTTAGAAAGGAGCTTACGGGTTTACTTTTTATAAAGGGGCTTCTGGTTTAAGGTTTCGGGGTTTTGGGGGGATGGGACTTAGGGGCTTGGTAGACAGGCCTGGTTTCCTCAATGGACGGGCGGGCAAGAGTGGAACAAAAGTCGCGGGAATGTGTTCAAACATTTTGTGGGAGTCTTTGTGGATTTCCGCACTTCCAAAACCCTAAACCACCCAAACCCTAAATCCTAAACTCTCAACCCTAAACTCCAAAGTCGAACGACCTGACAAAGCAGACATAAAGGCTGAAAACCCACATCTCCAACCCTAAGCTTCGGCCCGAAACACTTCGCCCTTAACTTCCATGGGCCTGTGCCACCGTGCCAAACCCACTGAGGCTCTCCTGCAGATACGGGAGTTTCCGAACATAGGGGACCCTAATAAAATAGCCTAAATAGTAGGACCCTTATTCTTAGGAGCCCAAAATAAGGTACCCCCTATTTTCGGAAACTCACAAACAATTTAGATCCCTTTAAGGAACCCTTATAGATCCCTTTAAGGAAGCTCCCATGCTTTGCCAGGTTGCGGGTGTAGGGTAGCGATGCATCGGGGCGGATGGAAGTTCGCTCCAACGCCTGCCAAAAGCATCGAAGTTGCAACCTCACTAATGTAGGGGCCTTAATAAATAGAATGGTGTTCCTTTAAGGGCTCCTTTCAGGGTTACCACTACTGTACGGGTTCTACAATGTAGGGGCCTTAATAATTAGAATAGGGTTGTGGGGCCCATTATGCTCAAATTTTAATAAGGAGCCCCCAAAATAGTATAGGTAATTATGAAGGCCCCTACATTACTCGCTTCTATGACTATGTATGACTCATGATGCACTAGCACTGGTTGCTGTCACGCCTAAACCGTGCTGTTACTGATGCGACCACGGCTACGTAGTTCATACTGCTCGTGTCACTGAACTTAGAACCCTAGCAAAAGTTACAATTTTAGCTGTTTCTTAGGGATTATAATAACCAAAAATTGACAAAACTATTTCTAAGTACCCCTAAGACTGCTGCAACGGCCGCGAGGATGCGACTGTCAGTTGGTGTCAAAAGCAGCCGAGATCTGAAGCCGGGGCGCCCTCCACACTGGCCAGCGAGTGGTCAAAATGTCATACAGAGAACGCCGGAGCCTCGGATTCTTCCCTCTTACTAAACCCAAAACACAAAACCCTATGTTCTTGCTTCGCGACCTGGTACATCTAGCAAGGTTTTCGGGTTTCCAGCCCAAGGAGAAACTGACAGAGGCTGAGGCAGCAGGTAATTCGTGGTTTGGGTAACTTTGCCGTATTGCTAAGGGCCATAGACAGACTAACCATGCACCCCGAGAGGATTCGAGGTTTCACCGCACTGTTTATATACTAGGAACCCTTAGTATGGTAATTGCGAAAACCCATTTTAGGGGCCCTGTCCCGCAAAGTGGCCCTTTAAGGTCCGGAAGCAGCAGCAATGGCACGAACCTCCATGACTTAATGCGCAAGTCGAGAAGCTCCCAAAGCCCTACGCCCTAAACCCTATACCTTAAACATCCCCCAAACCCTACGCCGTAAACTCCACATCCTAAGTATCCCAAAACGCTGTATACACCCTCAACCCTTCACCGCAAGAGCTTAGAAATTGCAAAAAACTGATGTAGGGGACTAAATAATTACCCATACTATTTTGGGGGTTCCTTAATATAATTATAGCATAATGGGCCGCAAAATCCTATTCCCATTATTAAGGCCCCTATATTTCAGAAACCTTATAGTAGCCCTTAGTAACCCTCAAAGGATCCTTTAAAGGAACACCATCCAAATTACTAAGGCCGCCCTTATATTGTATGTGGAAGCATCCCAGTGGCGGTGTCCATTGGAGCAGAACTTCCTGTCCTGACAAGCAGAGACTTTTGCGGGCTGATTCACACTTTGAGGTTTAGGATGTTGTGTTTGCAATGATGCAAGGGTTTAGGACGTTTTGTTCAGAATTCTCCGAGGGTTTAGGATATTTTGTTCCAACTTCTTCAAGGGCTTTTTGCGATTCCTGAGTTACCAATGGCCCGGTAGTAGTTCCTTTTTGGGCATACCTCATAGGCCAACTTATAGGATTCTTTATATGAGCCCCCAAAAGGAACTACTTTGTGGCCTATGGGTAGTTTGGGGTTGCGGGTTTTAAGGGTCGTGCTCTATGCCCAGACGATCGGCCGCACAAGCGTGAGCCCGGAGAATCTCGCGAGGGTTTGCGGGCCCGAAACCCTAAAATCCCCTGCAATCCTATACCCTAAAAACCTATATAAGCCCTAAAAATTCCCAAGCCCTAGGTCCTTTCTCCAGCAGCTGGCGATGCTGTGGCGCCGAAGCATCATGCGACTTGCAGGGAACCACAGTCATGAGGCGGCTTGGGGCCCCTTTTGGGGTCTGAGCAGTTAGGATACCCTGCTGGTCCCTAGATAATTCCTTAACCCTGAATAACCTAACTTTTTAGGGTTCCTTATTATGATTTCTTTATATAAGTCTTAAAAAATGTAGGTTCTTCGGGGTCAAGGTTTCGTCTACTACACACGAATCGCCCCGATATTGTCGGAACTCTGGGAGACCGAGGTTTCGAATTGCTTACATGCTCCCGACACTCGGTCTAATCTGTTCTGACTCGCAGGCTTGATGCAGAGTAGAGCTTACCGGTTGGAGTTCTTCCACTGATGGCGGTCAAGAAAATGGTGTTAAGTCGTGACGACAATGATGGTGTTGATGATGGTCGCGCTGACGGTGAGGGAGATCACAACGAACATGTCATGAGGTGGCGTGCGGCAAAGACGATGACGACTGAAAGAACCACCGTAACCGAACTTCACAGCTCGATCCGCCGAATGACAATCGTGCAACCACAAGATGCGCGAAAGACAGGGGTTCTCACAAGTGAAAATTGCACTCGAAACTGTTCTGTATAGAAACCAACTCGAATGCCCCATGGGCTCGCTGTGTGCTCGGGCATAGCCGCAGCCCGTTTAGCACTTCAAACTGCTTGCGCCTGCTTTAACCAAAGCACGCACGGCAGGTTAAACCCCGGACCCTACCGGGATCCCGGAGCACCCGCACTTAGCCCTCAAGTCGGGAGCCTAGGGTTACAGGCAAGCCCTACATGCGGTTTGGGTCTAACGCCTAAGGCATAGGGCTTAAAGCCTGAAGCTTAAAACTCCTAAGCTCGAAACTCAACGTCTAAAGCCAAACGTCAAAACTCGACTGAACTGAGGCCAAGGCAGCTGCCAAGGCGAAATAGGCCGCAGCATCACCCAGAACACATCTGGGTGGAGGCCTTTGAAAGACAACTGCATTATTATCAGGCTCCTCGGGCTTCAGGGTTACGGTTTAGGGTTTACATTAATCCTGAATAGCCTACGCTTTTGGTGTAAGTACTTAAAAGGGTAGGTTATTCCGGGTTAAGGTAGGGCTTTAGGGCTCAGAGTGTCAGTGTAGGGTTGCAAGATTGCGGGGTTTAGGCAGTAGAGCCACTCGTAAATAAATAATGCTACATCCTCAACCTGTATGCACAGATCCTAAACTTTGAAGCTCAACCCCTTAGCCCAAAAGCCTTAAATTTCGAGGTTGCCCAGGCGGTTAATGTAGGCTTGCCCCTCGTTGTCAGGTGTTCTGCTTTCTGCACACTCATGGGGCCTCTGATTTGAAGGTTGTGCGGAAGATCCAACGTACACGAATGGTTTGCGGCCTTAAACACAAGCTCGAGATAGCCACAAAGAGCATGTCAGTACTGACACCACCAAGAACAAAAAGGCACTCTAGGTCTCTGTGTATGTACATCACATACATATCTATAGAAATATACATACATACAGACAGACATACAGCCAGGCAGACACACAGACAGACGGACAAACAGACAGACTGACAGACAGACCGACAGACCGACGGACAGACAGACCGGCGGACACACATGTAAAAAAAACACATAATGTATGCATATGTCTCTATATATGGATACACATGAAAAACATAAACCCAGACTCCACAGGTTGTCCAGAAAAGCCTCATTCCTCAGGTTCATAAACAGCTCAACCATAACATTCATAGGAAACTTTCGCCATTGATGAAACGTTAGAGTGTCACGGCTTGGGCTCGGGGTTTTGAATGCAGGGCTTGGGGCACACAACTCATAGCCATCGTCGTGCAGTCTCTTCGCTCTTGCAGGGGTCTGGAAATTTTAGGATTTAGAGTTTAGGGCCAGTCCAACTACTTGTGCTGAAGAGAAAACCTTCCCGAATCTACTGCCACTGAACTCAGCGCAGGCGCTCGCGCAAGTAGGCCGTTGCCTGCATGTGGCCACAAGCCAAAACACTGTTATCCTTTGACTGCAAACAGCCGCAAACATGATTCTTGTACGACGGCGCAGCGCTGGCTGCTACTGCTGCTGCTGCTACTACTACTACTACTGCTACTATTGCTACTACTGGTGCTACTGCTACTACTGCTACTACTGCTACTACTGCTACGACTGCTACGACTGCTACCACTACTACTACTAGTACTACTAGTACTACTAGTACTACTAGTACTACTAGTATCACTGGTACTACTAGTACTAGTACTAGTACTAGTACTAGTACTAGTACTAGTACTAGTACTAGTACTACTAGTACTACTAGTACTAGTACTACTACTAGTACTACTACTACTACTACTACTACTACTACTACTACTACTACTACTACTACTACTACTACTACTACTAATACTAACTACTACTACTACTACTACTACTACTACTACTACTACTACTACTACTACTACTACTACTACTACTACTGCTACTGCTACTACTACTACTACTACTACTACTACTGCTACTACTACTACTACTACTACTACTACTACTACTACTAATGTTTGTTAATGCTATTGTTACGAATCATAACAAAAACTACTGGCTTCAAGGGTCCGTAGAGCGTAGTAGTAGTAGTAGTAGTAGTAGTAGTAGTAGTAGTAGTAGTAGTAGTAGTAGTAGTAGTAGTAGTAGTAGTAGTAGTAGTAGTAGTAGTAGTAGTAGTAGTAGTAGTAGTAGTAGTAGTAGTAGTAGTAGTAGTAGTAGTAGTAGTAGTAGTAGTAGTAGTAGTAGTATAGTAGTAGTAGCAATAGTAGTAGTAGTAGTAGTAGTAGTAGTAGTAGTAGTAGCAGCAGCAGCAGCAGCAGCAGTGGTGGTAGTCGGAGTAGCAGTAGTCGTGGTGGTAGTGGCAGGATTTGGATTTGGACCCTCCTGAACCCGTCCTCCGAGCCTCTTCAAGAGGGAGCCTGCTCCGAGCAGCCAGCGCGGCTGCCAGCTGTGATCGGAAGGCCCTGTAGGACAGCCGACTTCAAGGCTTGCTAGCCCTTGCTCTACTTTCTGCTGCCGTCCTAGCCATCATGTGTTCCTGCAGCCCAACTGTACTCTCCTCCCACTATCACTGCTGCTGCACCAACGCCCATGCACACTGCCCTGTCCACAAACACTAAATCAATATGGTGGCGAAGTTTCTACAACGAGGGATACTTGCCTCAAACAATCTTATAAGCTTGGGTTAGTGCCGGTGCCCTGGCTGTTCCGTCGCATATGAACAGGCCGTCGCACTTGTAAAATCGATCAACTAATGATTATATTATCAACTTCGGCGACGATTGCACAGCTAACTCCGCACATCACAATTCAGCTTGCATGAAGACAGTCGGCTGCGCCGCCACGAGCCCGCTCAGGATTGTGACTGACAACATCAAACACTTATGGTTACTCAGGCGGGGCGGCCGCAAACAAAGAAACCAATCCTTGCTTGTCAACAACTCACCACGACTAACGCATGTCAAGTTTGTGCGCTACGACTGCTGCGACACTGTTCATGCATGCTGACGTTGAAACCTCTTAGCCTTGAGCAGACCTTCGAAACACCGGCAAGATCATCTCAGCAGTCCTACTTCCTGAAGTGAAAACCCTAAACTGGCCCACAAAAGCCCTCTAAGCCGCAAAACCCCTCCAAACCACAAAGTCCCTCCAAACAACGAAACCTTAAGTCCTACAACCTCAACCCCGCAACCTGCTCTAGGAGACCCAGTAACCTAAGAATAAAAAGGCCTCTCTTTTTGGTATTGGGTAACTTTATAAGGAACCTAGGACTACAAAAAGGGAATAAGGGTACTACTGGGCATCCTAGTTATTCGTGCCGAGGCCTTCCTGTGGAAGAGTCCAAGTTGTCACACGCACTGTCGAGGGGATAGCCTGAGCTTAGGTTTAGGGTCTAGGGTTTAGGGTTTAGGGGTTTAGGGTTTAGGGTTTAGGGGTTTAGGGTTTAGGGTTTAGGGGTTTAGGGTTTAGGGGTTTAGGATTAAGGCTTTAGGCTTTTGGGTCAAGGCTCTAGGGTTTACTGCTTTACGGTTTGAGGGGTCAGGGTTCGTTCGTGTTTCATGAAGAAACGTAGATGTGAAAGACGATGCTAAGCATTAACTGTGCTCGGTGACAGAGCCGAGCATACGAAGCGACAGTAGGATATCGAGGATGATTTCGATCTTTAGTGTGCTTTAGTTTCTCTGGTGTCACGGAAGACAAGGTGAGGATTTCTCCTGTAACACGGAAGAACACCTGACGAAATGAGCCAGAACGAAGTAAACGACTGTACGAAGTTCCAGCCATGCCAGAAAAAAGAGTTCAGGGAACTGAACCCCAAAAAGGCCCAGCTGGTTCACGGCCTTTCTCGCTCTGAAGATTTTAACCGGAGGTGAAGTGGGAGGTCGGTTCTCGGAGCGGTTGGGCACGTACAAATAGGAACCTTCACGATTGGACAAGGGCGGCCTTTGTGTATATTGTAGTATACCCACAGTCCCATAGATGTTCCTTTTTGGGGTTACCTTACAGGATGCTATATATGGACCACAGAAAGGAACTACTTTGGGGCCTATGGGTACTTATACGGGGACTACATGTACCTCACCTGAAGGGGTACATACAGGTTCGAAGAGTCGTGCAGCTTCGGCTCAAGCCTCAAGTGAAGCTCTGCTCTAGGCGTTCCGGGTTTAGAGGTGCAAGTAGGGATTGGGATTTGAGTGGTTTGGCCTAGTGTACTTGCAACCAAGTTCCATGCCTACATGCTTCTCCACTTTTCAGGGCACAGGGATCCTTTAGACAGCTGAAGCACTCATGAGAAGCTTGCTGTGGCGTGAGCCGTCGCGCCCAAATCCGCCGATCAAAAGATGTAGATGTCCCCTACACTTTAAACCGCACCCTAAACTCGACATCCCAAACTCTAAAGACTCTAAAATAACTACCGGGTTTGCCAGGAGGAACATCTCAGAATTTTAGCCTGCAGGGTTCGCCGGCTGCACGGTCTTGTTCAAGGCGTTGTCTCTACGTCAGGGCTTCGGGTCTCTGGGCACATACCCAGAAGTGTTCCAAAAACGCCTGCCAAATGCTGTGAGAGTGGCTGATCCGGCGCTGCTCCTGTCTTGGTGCTGTTCTTGGGGGGTACAACGTTAAAAAAGGTAGCTGTGTAGACAGTATGAAGGTCCCATGGTTGGCCTTGAAGGGAACCTTCAAAGGAAGGGCCTAAAGCTTAAAACCGCAGCTGATGATCCAGCTTCGGGTGGAGATCTGCAATTCAGGGCATATGGTGTGCAACAGGTGGGGGATGCGAAAACTGAAGGGCTCACCTCACCTCTATAACGTTTGTATATACACAATTATGGGGGCTTGGTGCGGCTTGTTTAGGCGTGTCAGGATTTTTTGAACTTTCCCACCTTCGCCCGACATCGAAACTGAGGCCATGGAAACTCACCAAAGCCCACGGCCCATGCACTCCAACCCCTAAGTGCCGTAATGTTGTACCTCATAGGTAGGCTGTTGGAGGAACTCGGGGTCATCAGCTGCTTCAGGTGCATGTTCACTCCCCTAAACCCTAAACCCTCCCTGTGGCCCAACAACTATTCCCCGGGGTTTGGGGGTCAGACATTGAGCCCTGGAACCTGGATTTGGAATGGCTTGTTTAGGGTTTAGGGTTTTGGGGTTTCTCCAGCTAACTTCGCGAAATCATGGCAACTAGCATAAAAACTAGCACGCGACCGCGAGGCTTGAACAACTTAGCCGGCAAAGGGCCCCACAGCTTCGTCCAGCAACAGTCAACAGAGTGAGGGTAGAAAACCATGACAGACCTTCCAGGTTTAGCCTTTCCAAGTTCTTCTTGTCATTTCGCAATGTGAAGCTTCACACTGCGGGTGAGCGCTTCGGGCAGCTTCGGGGGGTTGTTGGGTGCAGGTCCGAGGTTTGGAGCTGTGCATATCATGTCTCGGGGTGTCACATCCTGGACCCTGAGCCCCTAAAACCAGATGGGAGTTTCCGAAAATTAGGGGTACCCTGTTTGGGGGTCCTTATAATAAGGATCCTACTATTTAGGGTACTATATTAGGGTCCCCCATTTTCGGAAACTCCCAGATGTCTGCAACCAAAACCCCAAAGCCCTGCAGCCTCGAGTTGGAGTTTACCCAGAGGCCCCGAAAAAGTTCAAAATTTGTGGTTCCTATATAGAACCCTGTAAGGTAATCCCAAAAGGGAACTACTATGGGGCCTATGGGTAGGTGTGCTTTCGCTCCTCTGCAAGCAAGCCCAGGATACGAAAAGCAGGCCAGCCCGAATCGACGACATCGCCCAAGGGCACGTGGATGAGGTCCAGGCTGAAAACAAACGCAGAGCTGGACTCGAGTAGTAGTCGTAGCCATAGTCGTGGTATTGGTAGTAGGCGGAGCAGTATAATAGAACTATTATTTCAGACATAACCATTAACAGTTAATATCATTGTTATTACTTTCATTATATTCTTATTGGAAATAGTAGTAGTAGTAGTAGTAGTAGTAGTAGTAGTAGTAGTAGTAGTAGTAGTAGTAGTAGTAGTAGTAGTAGTAGTAGTAGTAGTAGTAGTTGTTGCAGCAGCATCAGTAGTAGCAGAAAAAGTAGGACGAGGAGGAGCAGATCCGGAGGAGTGGTAGTGGTAGTGGCGGTGATGGTGATGGTGATGGTGGTGGCGGTGGTGTTGGTGGTGGTGGTGGTGGTGGCAGAAGAAGACTAGGATACCCAGTATCCTAAGAATAAAAAGGCCTCTCTTTTTGGTATGGGGTAACTTTATAAGGAACCTAGGACTACAAAAAGGGAATAAGGGTAGTACTGGGCATCCTAGGTAGTATGCTTCCGGTTTTGGAGGCACAGTGGCTGTTCTGGACATTAAAACCTGTAGGTCTCTACACGTGTGTGCATGCTTTGGCATAGGAGCTTCAAACCCTGAACTGAAGCCGTATGCCCTAAACACCTCGGTGTAAACCCAGGTACTTCATACAGGGAACGAGTGTTGAAACAGCAACGCACACGGAACTGGAACGAAGCAGACTCAGGGCATGTTCCTGGATTTTGGCGGGGTTAGACCAACCACCAAGTCGCAGGGTGTCGAAGAGGACAGCAACATGGAAACAACTGTTTGGGTGCGGAGGGCTCAGTTTGAGGGACAGCGGGCGAAAAGATGAGCTACAGCACAAATCGTGTCCACAGTTGATTGCATCAAAGCCCGGCAACATCGCAACGGAACCTAAACCCCAATCCCAGTAATTAGATATCTATCAGCCAGGCTACCCCATCCGGGCATCGCGCATCTGAATGCAGCGATCAGCATCGTTGGAGATGAGAACCGTAAACAGTCGCAGTGTCAGCACACCTTCGACATCAGGCATGGCCATTGGAGGCTTCCTATGCCCACAGATGGTTTAGGGTTTAGGGTGTACTACTCGACTTCACCATACTGTAGTACAGCTTTATTTGGAAAAGAAGTGTGAGGGGATATCTCGAAATATTCTCCCACCACTACTAGGATACCCAGTAACCTAAGAATAAAAAGGCCTCTCTTTTTGGTATTGGGTAACTTTATAAGGAACCTAGGACTAAAAAAAGGGAATAAGGGTACTACTGGGCATCCTAGACTATAGTATTTGACGGGCTCTGGGAGACTCAGGGGCTCGATGCGGGAGGACTGCACGTGCTGCTTGGCGTTATAGTCACTGCCCAGTAGTACGAACAAGTATGAGTATTACGAATGATAGCAAGGCTTAATAAGGTTAGTAAATGATATCCAACAGTACTGACAAATATCAATAATACCAATGATAGTAAGGTTGCATAAGAATACCAAAATAGTAGTGAGAATAAGGTGAGCCATACAGCATTGCACCCCACCACTAACCTGGAGCCCAACCCCAACACTCGGCATACCCTTCGACAATTTTCATATACCCTCCTCCCCAGCACACTGTTCTCCAAAGCCATCTGCCAGCCTAAGAGTATCAGTACTAACCTTGACAATAATTCTATGGCTTGCGGTTTATGGCCAGCTGCAGTCTAGAAACTCTAGTTGTTCTGTCATGTGGAGGTTTAGGGTTTTGAGGTTTAGGGGTTTGGGGTATAGAGGGTGCAGGGCTTGGGTCGTTCAGGGGATTAGGTTTTAAGGGGCGCAGGGTTCTGCATCTGACCTTGTAAAGTCCTTCTACGTTCTAAACCCAGGGGTTTTGCGAGCCGTAATGTATGGGCCTTTTTGGTGGGACTAGGATTCGGGGGCTTCCTTATTATGGTTATAGTATAATCGTATAACATCCACCAAAACCCTCTTCTAATTATTAAGGCCCCTACATAAATGTAGTTTTGCCTGTGCCTCTATCGCTCCTGCCACCCTACATACCAACAACTTTCCCTTCAAGGGTGTCGTGGTGTGGGACGGAGGGTGTAATATAGGGCCTCAAAATTAGAATAGGGCGCTTAGAGCCCATTATACTGTAATTATAATAAGGAACCCCCCAAAAAATGGTATAGGTAATCATTTAAGCCCCTACAGTAGGTTCTTCAGCTGCAGGCCTAGTGGGCATCCGCTGAGCCAAATGTTGGTGTGTGCAGTGGAGGAGAACCAGGCCAGCAGCCACTTGAAGTGCCTCGGCTTCTGTGAGGCCCTGAACCCTAGACTTTACATCCTGTGCTCATAAGGGGCTTTAGGGTTTATATAGGGCATACCCAAATACGAAGCCTGTATGCTCCGCAATGCACTACTCTCACTCATTCCTCCCCAAACCTACCATTGGCGGACATAGCATGAGCAGAAACAGACAGTTTATAGACCCTAAACAGTAAACATCCGCCAACCCTGTTCCCAATTCGTCAACCCAAAAGTGCTTGCCCTGCCTGAGCTTGATGTAAAGCTGAGATTTCTAGGAACAGCAACTCTTCAGCACTGCTACAACATCACGGAGTCGACCAGAACCTGGAAACCATCATGAACCCAGTTGCCTCAACCCCAGCACCTTCCACGCGCGAATCTCTACATCTCTGGAAGGAAACTAAACCCTAAACCCTAAACCGGAAACCCACATAACAACAAGGAGCGCAATCTCCTCGATGGCCCTCAAAAATCGACAAGCTACTCAACAAGAAAACCTAAGTATTCAGGCTTCCACGTGTTATTTTGGGTCCTTATGATAAGGATGCTACTATTTAGGGTGGTAAATTAGGCTCCCCTGTTTTCGGAAACTCCCATATCAACGCGGCCGGGGATGCCTCCGCACGGAGATCTGCCGGAAGAAATCCGCCGAGTTGTCCAGGACGGAGCTCAGCTCATGGCGGATGGAAGGCCATCCTCAGAGCAACTGTCAGAAAGGGGCCTCAAAGATAACCCTAAACCTTAGGTACGGCCCCGATACAGTAAGAGTCTATAATGGGGCTACTACTAAGGTCCTACTATATCTATATTATGAATAGTATTCGACTATTACTGAGGGGGGGGCCGTACCCAACCTAAACCCTAAACCCGAAAAGGGCTTCGGGTTTTAGGGTTTAGGGGGGCCTTAAAGATTGGAAAGTTCAACAAAGGCTTAGGGTTTCGGGTGGGGCCTTAGAGATGAGAAAATTCAATCAGGCTCAGTTGAGGGTACATACCGGGGGGCCTCGATAACTAGAACAGAGTTGTACAAGGGCTCCTTACAAAGGGGCCTGCAAAAAGGATTTTGCTTTTTACAAGGGCTTCTGTATCAGAATCTTATCTTGTGAGGTCTCATAAAGGGGCCTGAAAAAAAGGATTTTGACGAGCTATAGCAACAGTATGCATAGATGGGCGAGACGTATATAGAATTTTTCAGACCCTGCAGTCTTGTACGTGAAGAGGGCCTTTTAGTGTCATGTGCGATGAGAGTCTGTGTAAGGCTTTGGGAACTGGGTTTGGGATTTGCGGCTGTGGTGCCTAAATAGGGTTTCGGCATGAGGGTGCAGGTCTTGGTTAAGGTTCAGGGTTTAGGGCTTCGGGTTCACGGTCTAGGGGTGAGCGTTTAGGGTTCAGGGTGAGAGCTTAGGTTTCGGGGTCTATAGGCCTTAACCTCAAAACACTTGACCCAGACTCTGGCTCTGCACCCCTGAACTCTGCGCCCGAAACTCCCAGCCCCCTTTGCAACCCCCAAACCCGAGCCTTACACCCCAATAAAGCTCAACATGTCTCTGCTAACCAAAAAGGCTCTCTCATATCCATAACTGGAGAAGTCGAAGCCCTGGTTGCCGAAGTCTCAACTCAGGATTCGGGGAGTTTAATAAATTCAAGGGTTTGGGGTGAAGCTGAGCTTTGGGAGTCCATGATTTACGGTTTGGGGTCTGGCTTTTAGGGGTTTAGGGGCTTGGGGGTTGTGCATCCGGTTGCCCCAGAGGCTGTGTATGGACTGCGAAGCTCGAGCTGAGGATGAAGTGCAACTAGCCGGAAGCATCAGATATAAAGAAAAGATGGAGCTGGTCAACATGGACCACTTCGATGCTACATTTCCAGTATTTCTGTTCACATCTACCTAGGCCCTTTAAACCGTGCACTCTTGAGAAGCAACTCTGCAGCACCCCTGGCAACCTCGACGCACGCCAAATCCAAATCTAATCAACACCAGCACCAATACCGCTATGCTGAACCCCAGAAGTGTTCAGCAAAGAGGCCGTAGCGCCAGGGAACAGGCCACTGCCTTGCAAAGGGTGCTTACTCAGGAGCGCGGGGCGACGGTTCCCTAAACTCCGAATATCTCCTAACCACCTAACCCCTAGAGCCCTGTCTGCCCACCTCTACGTCTGTTGTCACATAACCTCCAATGGTTCAATAGACCCAAAGATTAAAGAATCCCTACACAACAGGCCCTATACCTTCTCGGCATTCCAATACTTAACCCCCCGGCCCCCCTCCCACCCCACACAAATCCTGGCAGGGAGAGCAAAGTTGAGCCGTAAGAACCCCTCACCCCTTTCATACATCCTAAACCCGAAATCCCCCAAATCTACACAGCACGGCAGGTTCGGGGTTCGGACTTTCCGGTGGGCTGGCCTTGCGCCGGCCGGGCCGTCCCGGATGTTCGATGACTGGTTGCACAAGGAACGCGGAGGCGGAGCCACCATGGGTTTCGGGTCCACGGCTTTTGATATAATATTCAGAGGCTGTAGTATACAATAAGATACAAGATTGCATATACTAGAATATAGTATTCATTAGTATACCATAGCACCTATACTGAAGGATGCTTTGATGTACTACGTATACTGAAGTCGTGTGGGTAAAGGTTGAAGGTGGTTTGGAATCAGTGGCTTGCGGGGTTCGGGGGCCACAGGCTTAACGGCCTCGGAGATGATGTAGGGGTAGGGTTCGGAGTTCGGGGGTTCGGGGGGCTTAGGGCTGATTAAGGCTGCTTGTTTTTAGGTGGTAAGCCAGAAGACTCGAGAAATGATCTTGCGAAGAGCGGAATCCAAGGACTTCATCAGTCTCAGGCTCCTCCGGGTCATTGCGTAGAACCCGCCCGAACTTCGGCAAGCACATTGGGAACCCATCTCCTACGATTGGTTTAGGGTGTGGGATTTAGGGTTTAGGATTAAGGCCGCCTGCTATCGCCCCTAGTTTCTCATCTCCTTGGCCCGGAAAAGGTGGAATTTTACAGATCGTGGTAACGACTGCGTACACACCCATAGGCCCCAAAGTAGTCATTTCGTGGTCCATGTATAGATTCCTATAAGGTAATCCCAAAAGGAAATACTATGGGTCCTATGGGTACCTCCCAAAAGAGTCCTGGGGCTCCTACTGATCAGGTAGTGTCCTACTTGCAGGTATCAACGTGTGCCGTTCAGCAGTGATGGTTTTCTTGCTGCGCTGGGCTCGCAGCGTGCGGAGTTTCATCAATTTCTAGCAAGTCTAGCATCCCTGCACGGCTCTGTAGACACCTGCAAACACTCACCAAGGCCCGAGAGTGTCATGACTGACGCTTCGCCGCAGAGTCTCTGGGAATTCGAGCTGTGCCCTGAAAACATGCCTCAAGGGCCTCAAAGGTGTAAGTTCTGGGATTGAGGTTATGCCCGAATACCCATTCTGGTTTTAAGAATTATTTGTGCAAGCCCGAAACATGCCGAAACCCTAAACCCTGAACCCCGCCAAGCTTTCTATCACAATATGCGCGAGGTTGACAAGAGGCGGGTCATTGCCTCGCTCCTGTCCGCTTCCACACAGCAGAATACTTTGCATCGCAGGGTTGGCTTGAGGCTTTGATGAGGGTGCAGGGGTGCAGGGCGTCAGGTGATTTAAGGTTTAGGATACTATTCAGGGTTTAGTGTAATTCTTAAAGCTCAGGTTGTGGCATGTAAGACTTAGGGTTGAGGTTCCACACATTTCCTTTCCTACACCCTTTCCGCCGTAGCGTGGCGGAGTAACCTGAACCGCATGCGCACTAGATTCACTAGATCCCTGGAAAGCCGGGCTTTGAGGTTTCGTTCTACACGCCCAAATGGGAGTTTCCGAAAACTAGGGATACCTTATTTTGGGGTCACTCCTATTATCAAGGGTACTATACTAGGGTCCCCAATTTTCGGAAACTCCCAAAACCCTAAACCCTACAGATCCCTTATAGGAACCCTTAAAGGAACCCTTCTATATAGATCCCTTTACGGGGTCCTCCTATTTTCGGAAACTCCCAAATAAGTAACTCGGATACCCAGTAACCTAAGAATAAAAAGGCCTCTCTTTTTGGTATTGGGTAACTTTATAAGGAACCTAGGACTACAAAAAGGGAATAAGGGTACTACTGGGCATCCTAGCCCCTAATTTTCGGAAACCCTAAACCCTTTATAGAACTCTTATAGATCCCTTTAAGGAACCCTTATAGATCCCTTTAAGGAACCCTTATAGATCCCTAAGGGTACTACCGGGCATCCTAGGTAAAGTTGCAAGTCCACGGCCAGCCTGCAGACCCAAAGTCTGGTGAAAGCTCTCAGCATCCCCCCGGCTCAACTTTCCTGCAACTTGGGCAGCCGGGGGCAGTGTTCTTGGTTTATGTCTGTGTGCATATATATATATATATACATATATATATATATATATATATATACATATATATATATATAATGCACATGTATACAGACACGGTTAGATATTCATCAAGTGTACTTCGGGATTGAGAGGCCCTTCTCGATGACAACATGTACTAAATGTAGGTGCCTTAACTCGGCAGAGATTGTGCGGGGGTCCTGAAGGTCACACGATACGGCTCAAGGTTAAGCTTGGGCATCCGACTCGAGGGGTTGGCGTGTGCATGTGGGCTGCATACTGCGGAAGCTTTGCATGAAACTGTAGGAAGCACTACACAGTGCTGAATTCCCTACCGTCTGGCTCATCTTGGCAAACCACGCGAAGGACGACCATGGCGTGACAAAAAAAAAAAAGAGACTAGGGACCCAGAAAAGGACATAAACAAAAAGCATATGGTTGGGATATCCTAGAATCCCCTCTTTGATAAAGCCAACAAGATAGGGATATCCCACCCGAAAGTTTATGTTTGGGTGCTTCTTTGGCTCCTGAGAGACAGCAGCAGGAACAGCAACCACCGCAACCACAACCACAAACTAAGCACATAATGCGCTGCATCAATCTCAAGACGATCCCGTTTCAACCCCCCGAAGATCCCAGAAGCCCCTTCCACCTCAGCCTGGAGAGAAGATGTGGCTGCATGGCTGTGCGATCCGTAGCCATTTCGACGCGATACCTAGGTTTTCAACAGAACTCCTAGACCAGGAATTCTGCCGCTGCTACGCTTATACACTTTCTCTTACTGCTGCTACACACTGCTACGCTGCTGGGACCAGCAATAGTCTGAATATACAAGATGAGCCGCTACATCCGTGCTGGCCCTGACGCCTAGAGCCTGAAATGCACACCCACCCCAACCAACCAACCAGCCAGCCAAACCAACCAACCCACACCAAACAAAAGAACAAAACTAAGACACGTAATATGGGGGGCCTTAATCATTAGAATAGGGTTTGGGGGCCCATTATACTATAATCATAATAAGGAACCCCCACAATAGTGTTGATAATTATTTCGGCCCCTATAATAGACGAACAGAGAGTCAGATCCGTGGCCCGGGCTCGAGGGTCATCGGCGAGTTTTGCGGTCGAATCTCGCAAATGCGCCGGACCTCGGTGACCTGACACAGCGCTTTTAGGTTATGGGGTTTAGGGTTGAGGGGTTTAGGGAATAGGGTTATATATACTGCAAGGTTTATTATGAGGGCTAGGGTGGGTTGAGGGTTTGGGGCTTCAGGCTGTTCAGGTTTGGGTTGAAGGTGCTCGGGGTTGGGGTTCTAGGGTCAAGAGCTTTGGTTTTGATGGGTTTTCGGATCGATAGGCTTGATTTCTGAAGGATCTCGGTTTGGTGTTGTGAACTTTCGAGAGCTTGAGCTTAGGCTTTTGGGGTTCGGGAAGCACCCCAAACTCTAAACATCCTTAAACCATAAGCCTGAAGAGCCAACTACTGAAAGTACGAAACCGAAACCCGCACCCACAAGCTCACAAGCGGTTAACCCCCATGGGTTTGGGTGTTACTGGTAGGAGGTTAGGGTTTTTATAGGAGTTTTAACTTTTTTTGTTGTGTGGATCTGCGAAAACTCAAAGCCCATGAACCCCGGGCACTCTAAATCTGACATCGGCAGGGACCTATATACTATAGGGGCTTTAATAATTAGAATAGGGTTTAGGGTTTAGGGTAATAATTAGAATAGAGCTTTGGGGCCCATTACACTATACTTATAATAGGGAACCCCTAAATAGTATTGGTAATTATTAAGGCCCATTATACTATACTTGTAATAAGGAGCCCCAAAATAGCATTCTCTCGCAGGACCTTGGAGCCCCGAGGGGCGCGTCCGTAAATTCAACTTGCAGAGGTGAAACGAGGTCTGCCATCCCAAAAGCCGCCTGCGGTAGTCCGTTCGCCTTCTACGGACCTCGCATCGACGTATTCCTGTACAAAGCGAACATACGCTGGATCGGGATGGAAAAGCTTGGCGAGGGTGAGAAGCGAGATGTCTTCACCTTCAACTGCCACTCTTTCTGCTGCTGTCAGCTGTGCAGGACCAAGGGTTTGGAGCGGCTTAGTTATGCAAGAAAACTTCTGCCACTGGCCGTGACTGACAGCTTTACGCCTTGCCTTATGTAGGTGTTCTACATCAGCCAACTCCTGGGGGGTCAGCGGAGCAAGAAGCCAGACGGTGCGGAGCAGACAGGCTGGCGAGCTTTTCAGGTGGTACTGCAGCCGTTCCACATTGCTGTAGTGCCTAAGGCAGGCAACACACGTGTCGGAATGTGCCAAAGCCCTCGTGGGTGTAATGACATTGTGCTTTCGAGCGTAGTGTACCCACAAATGCTTACGCAAAGGGAAGGCAGCTTGACAGAGGTGGCAAGAGAAGGGCAAGGCAGGCGGGGGGGCGTCGATCTGGTCTGCAGCTTCACCTGAAGCGGCAGTCTCCGCGGATCTGGCCTGCTCCCAGTGTTCCAGATCTTGGTGCCATTTGGCAGCTGCCCCTTTAAGGACTTTGGTCCACCAGGTGGGTTGCTCCTGCAGTTTCTCAAGCAGCACGTGAAGTGGACGGCCAGTGGAAAGGAGGACCTCAGCAACAGGATTATACTGTGCGACGTGTCGGATGTCCTTAACGATCTGGCCAAGCCAGGAAGAGTCAGCCTCAACTTCCCACTGCTTCCACAAGAGCTGACGCAGAGTTGGCGGGCCATGGCCAACAATCTGGCGTAGCAGCGCTGCTCGGGCCAAAGCCAGGGCAAGTGGAGGGGAGGGGGCTGCGGCACGTAGGAGAACCGTGTAGGCGTGTGGTGTCTTTTCATGCGGCTGTCGCCGCAGCAGCACCCGCCATAACGCGACATAGGCCTGGGCCCAGGTGCGAAAGTGGATTGCGACATGAAGGCGAAGCACGGCGCAACCGAATACAAATCTGGAAACTGCAAGAGAACGAAGGAGGTGACGACGTATCTCTAAAGGTATACCAGCAGCCGAGAAAAGCCTGGTACGGAAGGGCCGAACGGGTATCCAGGCCTGAGCCGACCTAAACCCTATTTCTGGGGCCGGAGTCCCCGAGCTGGTTACGATGCCCCCTAAGTGACGGTATGCGTCAACAAGAGGGAGATGAAAGGGTTCCCCAGAGACCGCGCTATGCCCCATCAGGAAAGGTCCTCCGGGTCCATGCTGTATGAGAGAGCGATCTGGCTCGGGGACCTCCTCAAGCTGCAGCATGGCGGCAGTCTTCTCCCTGGCAAAGGTCAACTGCATGCCTATGGTATCCGCCCTTTCCACATAAACCGTGACTATCCGCACTAGTTGGGGTACCAGGCCAGCATTGTCAGCCTGTTCGTGAAAGTGCACAAAGTCATCTGCCCAGGCCCCGGCACCTAGGCTAGAGGGTACGGGTTCCTTGCCCCATGGAGGGGTGGAGCAAAGAGCGGGTGTTGCTGTGGCTAACCCGCGTTCCGTAAGAGCAACGTCTGACGCGCGGAGATAAGCCGCAAAGGCAAATGCGAAAAATACATCAGCAAGGCTATCTCCGGGTCGTGTCCCTACATGCGTGAGGGTAAGCACAGCAGAGGAATCTATCCTAAACCATGTCCCCTGCATAATGTCTGACGCTATTGCCGTCAGATGTGGGCTAGCACCTGCTCTGGGAATCGCTGCCAGTCGTGAGAGGTGGTCCGCAAGCTCATGCAGTGCCACTGGGGGAACTCCCAGGACGTGGAAGAACTTACGGATATGACGGTCGTCATCGCTGGCTGGTGCGACAAGCTGGCGGATAACTCGATAGAACGCAGCCTTGACATCGTAAAAAACCAGTCCCCAGGACCGTCGGCGTGCTTGCGCCGTGACTTGAAAGACCCGGGCTGCAAGGGCGATGGCCTCGGTCCCTATCCCTGGAACGGCCCCGGCTTGCAAGTCTTCGGCCGGGAGATGATTGCAAAGGCAGCTCCTAATATGGCGGTGGTAGAGCTTGCCCGGCACGGAAGACAAGAGTATAGCCCGGAACTTGCTACATTGAAGTGCCGCATGCGCCTGTTTCGCGAGCGGTATGAGACAACCACCCCGGAATTCTAAGGGTTCTTGTAGACCCATGGCAGACTTAAGAAAGAGAGGAGCTAGAACGCGTGCGGAGGCCGCAGGGGAGAGCTGCAGTAACTCTCCTGTCAAGCCGTCAGGTCCACAGGCTTTACCTCTCTTAAGTCCCAACACCAGTTGCTCGATGGTGGAGAGTGTAGCAAGGGTATTAATGTCGAAAGGGGGCGTAACAGCCGTCACCTTACGTTGTTGGGCAAAGCGGGCCGGGTAATCCTGAGCATCAATGGGCTCACCATCCTCAAGTGCCGCAAAATGCGCACGCCACACTTCATGACGACTATCCCTATCGACCGCGAGCTCTCCGTTGGCATCCTGAATGGCAGGCACTGGCTGGAAAGTTTGACGTCGCTGTGCCGAAGCCGCAGGGAAAGCCTTGCGGACAGCCCGGAAAAGGTTCTTAGGGTCGCGTATATCAGAGGCAGCGACGCGTTTCACGAGGGAATGCAGGTACTCAACGCGGTCTCGCTTAATGAGGCGGCGGATATCCGCCCCAGCCCGGTCCAATTGTTGAGTCAGGGTGGCAATCTGTTGCCTAGATTGCGCAATCCATTGTGAGGCCTGTAGGCTAGCCTGGGGGTGAAAGGCTGTGCCATACCTATTATGGAGTAGCCCTGCGAAACCAACAAGTAGGTATCGTCTGGTGAGTTCTCGGTGTGTGTGAGCCAGCTGGGCCCTCAGAAGGCGCCGCTGATGCACCAGTGCAAGGGTATCTTGCTGTATGTACGCCTGACGGGGTCTGGGCTGGTCAACAACATCTAGGTGTGTACTGGCGGCCGCCCATGCGCTGCTCAGGGCAGCAAAATGGTCGTCAACCTGTGCGTCCCATTGCATATCCGCGCTGTGGGTGAACGTAGCCAAGGCGCAGAGATATCCTGTATTGGGCCGACTGGCAACAGGCCGGACGGCCTTGCGCCGGAAGGTGGAAAAGTCGGCGTCGGGACTGCGTCCAGTAAGACTACAAGTCAGCTGCACAGGATAGTGGTCAACACTAAGTTGCAAACTTTCGAACTGATAGTGCACGGTAGAAGAGACACTGTCGAGAGGCCACTGCTGTGGCACGGCAATGTAATCCAGTCGATGGCTCGTGCCGGAGACTGTGACCCAAGTATGCGAAGGGCCGGCATGTACAGACGGGAACGTGGCTGGTAGGAAAAGCTCGTGCTCTGCCAAGAACTCATGGAATGCGGTGCCGGAGGCTGTCTCAATCTCCGGTGCAACACTACCCACAGAGGCCGAGCAGTTGGACCCCAAGTGGGCATTGGCGTCTGCCAAAACAATAAGCTCAGAGTGCTTAGGTTTTTTGGCAAGGTCACGTCGGCACATGTTCCAGAAAGCAGCAGCAGTGCCGGAGGCAGCGGGAGGCTCAGATGGCCCATGGCACACTAAAACAGTCCAGCACAGGTGGGGAGCATTGAGCTGGACGATCAAGTGGCGGGGCGAGTAGCCCGTGACAGTACAATGGTCTTTTGCAAAAAACCACTTCTTTTTGCCACAGACTGCATAGGGCACATTGCGGCTTATCCAGAGTGCGACGCCGTGGTGTCCATCTGCACTTGCAGCCGAGTGGATCATCCAGTAGTCGGCATCAGGGAGAACTTCTGTTGAACTGATTCGAGTCTCCTGTATACCACATAACAAAATGCCAAGTTGCTCTAGCTGTCGTTTAAGTAGGCAACGTTTGGCTGAAATTTTTAAACCTTCCTGACGTGCATTCTTACCAGGCCTACTGGGATCCATGAGGGTAAGAACATTATAGGACAGAAAGGAGATGGCCTGGACCAGAGGCTCACCCACCTCGGTGGCGGTGACCTGTCCCAGTTGGGGGCCACCGGCAGGAAGTCGGGGGTGTGCCTGCATTCTGTAAGCTTCACTTTCCAAGGAGAAAAGCGTCGGGACATTCGGGCTATGCCGGCCAGCCAGCCAGAGCCACGCCTTGAGAGGGTGTCGGAAGATCGCACTGGGCCAGGTAGGCAAACAAAGCTCCGAAGGCGGCAAACCATGTCGTCGGCAGTATTTCGACAACTCATCGCAGAGCTCGTTGCCGACCTCCCCACTGTGCCCAGGCACGTGGCTGTGTGTGAGTGACACTCGCTGTTCAGCGGCTTGACGGATATAACAGGCAAAGTGTGCCAGGTCAGGACTGCCAGTGTGTGACGTGCCTGTGGCAACCTTTGACTCAGCAAACGTACCCCTTCCTGCAGAGGTACAGTCATACCGAAGCTCGATAGGAACCTGGTACCCGGGGCCGTACTCGAAAACCCAGCTCAGGGCCCAAACGAGAGCTAGGGTTTCGCAAGTAAGAGGCATGTCATTGCCTTCCCCAACGAAGAACGGACTATCAGGAGCCTGTGTAAGGGCCATGGCGTGCCCAACCAGGCAGTGTCCTTGTGGGATCTGCGCCCAGACAGAGAAGGCCCAAGAGCCACATGTAAGTGTGCCATGTTCGGGCTTCGCTCCTGGTGCCGACCCGTCAGTATAGACGACGAGGGCCTGCAGCAAAGTGTGGTCGGGCATGAGATGCCATGACTGGATGTTGGCGAACTGAGAGCGCTTCGCCGAAGGCACTTGAACATCGGCGATGAGAAAACTGAGGTCACTATCTAACCAGTCAGGTGTGGCTTGGCTGTCCTCCGTCGGGGTAGGAAGAAGTGCATTGAGAGATAGCGCCTGACACTGGTGTGTAGTCAGAGGGAGGAGGTCCTGTAACACCAGAGCCTCTGGAGCGTCGCCCCCGACCTGTGTATTACTAAGGCATTCACCAAAAAGGTGCTCTTGCAGAGTCTCTGTGATGGCAACCGTTTCTAAGTAACCTTGAAACCCCGGATGTGCTGCACTCTGTTGCAAGAGAGTGCAAAGTTCGAGGGTAAAGGTATGATCAATCGGATCGGCATGGGCTGAGGCCTGGGCGCGGGTTGACGCAACTGTGCGGCAAGGTGTAGGGACTGGCCTGTGGGCTTTAGAACGCGTCGGCTGGGAAAGCCGAGGGGCACCGTCAGTCGAGAGGACAGGGGTGTCCAGCGCAGGTCCGGTAGGACAGACGGGAGGCTTGCAATGCGCTGGCCACATGGCTACTCGATCGACTGAACCTGGGTACCTCTGAGAAGATGGGAAGTCGGCTGGAGAGGGTGTGGAACCCTGCAACTGCATAGCACGATTGCCTCCACATAGGGTTGCACAGATGAGTGCAAACAGCTTGTGCCCGGGCAGGCTGGGGCGACCGGTTCTGGCGACCGCTGTGTTCCGCGCCGTGACATGGCATGTGGCTGCAGACTGAGTGTTGTGTCCAGGCAATGGACGTCCTGGCACTGGTTGAGACCCTGCTCCAGTGCCAGGAGAGTGTCTGGTCGTGTCAGGGGGAAAGGTGCCTTCGGAGCCGTGATACCTTGCTGAGGCGGTGCTCCCATCACGAAGGGGCCTGGCCTGTCTCCCATCAAAGCTCCGAGGCAAGAAAAGGACCTGAATGACCTCACCTGGGCGCACTGGCACGGCATGGTCGTCAGTAGAAGGGGATGCACTTGCACACCTGCAGTCTACAAAAAATCCAGGCGGGCAGCGATGGGTAAACCTGCCCCTTATTGCTTGGAAGTCGACCGTCCCTTGTACTGCTACATCCCATTGCCACCCACGGTAGATGGCACGCAAGTCCAGCACAATGGGAGTCGGGCCATCTGCCGCCGGGTTGACACGAATAGGGCTGGTGGTGGCAATTAACACCGCCCTACGAAAGGAGCCGCGTATCATCAGATTCGTGACTCCGGGCAGGGCAGGCCTGAGGCGTAAGGCGGGGGTATGCACCTGGAGGGCTTGGCCTATGTCATGGCGCAGTGCGGCAGTGCGCGCTCTGTCAATAGGGAAGTCCATAGGATGATTGTCTGAAAGAAGAAGAAGCACGTCATCGTGCTGTCCTGGCAAGACGAAGTGGGACAGTGAGGGATCACCGACCATAGTATGTGCTAGGATATCTGCCAGAGTTTGCACGCGTCCGGGGCCTTGTTCGACGGTAGTAACCGTGACCAGATCACCGTGGCGCAAGGTTACAGTATGGGCGCTCGCGAGTGGCCAGACTGAATCTCGGATGAAAACAAGGTAGGGCTCATCACCTTCGTAACCTGAGCATGCCAGCAGATCCGTGCGAGAGGGCAGTGGTGGTACGGCCTCTGCGTATAGACGACCACCATTGACAAGGTCGTGGAACAAGACCACAATCCTGGACGTGTCCCATAGCGGGAGGGCCAACAGGAATCCAACATCATGGCGGTGTTGATGGCTAACGGGTAAAAGCCGTGGAGCACGGGTGCTAGCGTCAATGTCCCGAAAGGCAGCCAAAACCTGAAGGGTCCCATGTACACTGCCGGCCCGAGGAACGGGAACTTCAAGCGCTTCCGGGGCGAAATCAACGGCAAAGATGAGAAATCGACCCAATCTGAAGTCGCCTGCCAGGGAGGTAACATCCGGTTCACTGCTGTGGTCACCGACTTGCACAGGATGGCCCGGTGGCACTGCCAGAGAATCCAAAACATCGGCTGAGCCAGCATCATCGCTCACACTGCTAGGTGGGTTATGTGGCAGACTCGTCGATGATGAGTCAGCTGCCGAGGAGGGATGGGCAATAGGATCCGATGTTGGGGCCAAGACAAAAACCTGGCCTGGCCTGGCTTCAACAACGTCACGGTGCGGTGCTGAGTCCATGACGAGAATGTGCCAACCTGGTGGTAAAGGCACCTGCTGTTGCTGGAGAAGCCTGCAAAGCGAAATGCATTCACCAGAAATAGGAAGGCTACGCCAGCCTCGCAGTAAGGGACGTAAGTCCAAAAGGATACAGGACTGTTGACCCTCTGAAACTGGGGCAATGACAGCGACAACAGTAATGCAGCCCATACCCTGAAAGGCAGCATCTGCTACTCTAGGAGCAGCTGGGTGCAGACGCATACAGGACGCCGCAACGTCAATGCATTGCGCAAGCTGGCGTCTGTAGGTAGCAGGAACGCGCATGTCTGCAACGAAGGGGAGATTACGCGACCCATGCACAACACCATAGGTGCTGCCAAGTGTTGGTGTATGCGCGCTGCCTGACTCGTGCCACCAGTCCGGCCAGTCGAGAAGCGCATCGAGCGCATGAGCCTCTTCTGGTTCCTCGCCGTAGGCCATGAAGACGAAGGTAGCGCCCGATAGGATGTGTACCTGGGCCGTGGCATCTAATTGCGCCAATGGCCAACCTGTCCAGACGGTAGGGCGGATGGTCTCAGGGACCTGTGCGAGCTCGAGTAGTTGGGAAATGTCTGCGTACTGCGGAGCCTCGCGGGCAAACACTCTACCATCTATGGCTGAAGTGTCTAGACAAACCAGATTGGCTGTAGGCTGAAAAGCTGGACAGGCCAACCAAACCCCTGTGCCCACGAGAGTCTGGGGGTGGGCGGGGATCAAGGAGGGGAACCATTGGTTCATTCTAGGCTGTCTAGCAATGGCCAGCGCTATAGTGATGTCTGCTACAGAACTGGGAAACCTTACTGCAATTGTGTGCGCTTCGGACTTGTAGTCCGGCGTGACAACGAGGCAGCTTACCCATCTTACGTCATCAGTATCGGCCTCAGAGGTCTCTGGGGAGCCATTCAAGTCCAGAAAAGCGGCATCCTCGTGAGGAATATACCGCCAGGGCTGGCCCATGTCTTGTGCAATTGCACGGACTGCGGCCAGAGCCCACCGCAGAGAAGGCCTTGAAGAGTGAGGCTCCTGGAGTAACTTGTGCTGTACCTGAGGTATTGTGAGCTCAACGAGGTTCTGAGCGTATGCACAATAGTCTGACTCCGAACAGGCAGGTAGCCTGGTCAGGAACTTGTCAGGTCCAAGTGGCCGTAGCCATGGGGGCCAGGCAAGCTTGAGAGGAGATGCAGTGTACTGCCCCTTATATGAGCGGTGACATGCCAAGCTCCGACTCGAAAAGCCTGGTCTGGAAGGTGAGCGACTGCGGTCGCGGGCCGAAGGACTGGGCTGTCCATAGAGTGGACGAGCCTCTGCTGAGGAGGCTGGAGAGAGGTCGCCGACAGATTGAGATGATCGCCCTGCGGAGTGACAATCATCATCGCTGCCGGGTTCTGCTTCTTGAGGTACCCAGTGTACGGTCAGGATTTGGCCCTTGGTAACCACTATGTTATCACCATCATCGGAGAGACCCACCCCATCAATTTGGACTTGAAATCCTGCCGGTGCAAAGACCTGAAAGCGCCTGGAGATGTCGGAACGGGAACATATGTAGTCCTGTACGAGATATTGGTGCCAACCTTGAAACAAGGCCCGGCAATCCAGAGCAATGAGAAAATTGCCCGGTGTGGCACGTGCGGGCGGGACCGGCACGTTGGGAAAGAGCGCAGAGATCAGAGCTATGCCCCTACAACGATATCCCAAAAAACCGGCATCATGGACACGTGGGTAGGTGATCTGGGCTGTGGTCCAGTGTGGGGCAATGCCGAACTCTGCTGCAAGGTCGTCGGTGTAGTGCTGGCCTTTACTTGGCTTTATCTGATATAACCGGTTCCCGTCTTCGAGGACTGCACAGAGAAAGGGGCCCCGATGTCCCCCAGGTCCCCTGGGTATGTGGGCCTCTGGGTCCCAGCCATCGGCTGAACTCAGCATGCTAGCTAGAGACGGGGTGTGCATTGGGGCCTCGCCGCCAGGCACGAATTGTATGCTGCCATGCGGTACTGCTGGTAGTATGCCCTCCTCGAGAAGAGGGATCGTGGCACCATACGCATATATGTCGAAGGCACTTCCCGCAGGGAGTCGTGCCAAAGCACACAGGCTGGCGTGAGTGCCCTCGGCCGGGAACTCGGCGGCAAAAATGCGTCCGTCGATCTGGCTTAAGTCAAGTACAACGATGCTGGCCTCCGCTGTCCAACAAGGTAGTGCAAGAACGGTGGCCCATTGGTCTGATAATTGGGGTTTGACTTCAACAAGGTTGGGGAAGTAAACATAGAGGCCACTGGGCACCTCCCGACGTACAGCCTCGATACACTCGGAAACAGTGGCAGGGGCCCTTAGTTCAATGTCAAAGACCTTGCCTATGTATCCTAGCGTCAGAACCAGGACCTGACCTTCAATCATGTTGTGCTGGGACCCGTTGTCGCTGGTATCAGAGTCGGAAGCAGGAGCAACCTGTGTGTGTGGGCGCCTGTGTGGCCGGAACCTCTGTATGGCAGTTTGCCGTGATGACCTTTGAAGAGCCAACTCGTTGGAGCCATAATGCAAACCGTTAACAGAGGCTCCTGGAACAATGATGGGCGTCGGGTCCCTGCTAGCAACAGCCTGAATTGACAAATAAGGCATGCCTACCGAATGCTGATTGCAACTGTCAGGCCGATCACCAATACGAATTTGCCAGCCTGGAAGGCTGGGCAGTGCTAAGGCCTGCCATACCTGAGTGAAGGCCGCATCATGTGCCTCAACATGGACTACTTGTGGTGGAAGGCCCATGGGTCTTAAGTCACATAGGACGGCAGCCTGACGGGGGTCTGTGGGGTCGGCACCTGGGTGAGACAAGCCTTCCGTTGCTGTCTCCTCGACGACACATATTGCAGCGCATGGGCTGCCCAAGACCGAAAGATCGGGCATGTATTGTGTACTGGTGACGTGGAGGCAGGACTCGGAGGTACGGTATCTTGTGGCGAGAACTGCAGTAACGTCCTGCCCTGGAAATAAGTTAGGGTTAAGGACATGCATTTGCTGCCGGAACCAAACCGCAGTATTGCTGTGATTGCGAGACACAGGGAGGTCTGACAGGGCACCACGTGTCTCCAACTGGCCAATGCAACCATAACCCGTAAACGGAGGCGGTGGCTGTATCGTGGCCCGGAGGACCAAAACTGCCTGTCCTGCGCAAAGGCTGAGAAGCTCTGTTGCAGGGCAGTGTCGGTAGGTGGGACCTACTAGGACGTTCACCTGGTCCGGGTCCACATCAAGCTCTGTTTGAAACTTCGCAAGTAATGTGGCTGCATCCCAGTGCCTGGGCATGTGGTAAGCAAAGTATTGACCACCTACATGCGTGAGGTCAATGATGACTGGCACAAGATCCATTGCCTCCAAACAGTCCGGATATGAAATGAAATCCACAAACCCCGTGAGCCGCGGAGGGCTGACAAAGGACAATTTCGGGTGGGTGGGCCTGCGAAGGCTTGCATGCCTGTGCACCTGGCAGAGCAATGCCACTTGACCTTGTTGTGGCGAGTGTCGAACACCAAAGCTATAGGAGCAGTAGTGTGACGCATGAACTGTAACACCCAACCAGTGCTCCTCGGATGTAGGCATCGTCATGGACTGCAGCAGGGATAGAGGTATTGTCTGAACCTCCTCGGCATGCTCATACGTTGAGGGTTGTACTCCAGAAGGCAAAGGCTCCGGAGTGTGGTCCACAACATGTTGAATCAGACGGAGAGTTTCTCGGACCTCCGGCGGTACACAAAAGATCTGCTGTGGTATGCATAGGAGGAGGAGCACCCTTAACCAAGCCTGGGCACTAAAGGGCCTGCGGAGAGGCTGCCTCTGCCATCCAAGTTTGGTGACCTGTGTAGGTCTGTCCCACGGGAGAACCTTATGTGATGGCCTCGCAACGTGTGCCAACGGGCGGAGACAGGGAATGAAGGCTTCTCGAGCGCCACGCGGGATTAATCGTAGCCGAACCAGGCGGCGGCTTGGCAGGTAAGGCACGAGCAAACACACCAACAAGAAGCCTATGCCTGCACATGCTGTGCGCGCTAGAGGAACAACCGAGCGGAAGAGCCATCCAAGGCTCCATGTTGACATAATCAAGTTGGACAGGGCCGCTGTATTTGGTGCGCTGAGTGGTTGCACGTTCCCTAAAGAGGGAAAGGGCACACTATCCGAATCACCCTGATGAACCTGAAGCCAACTAACGAAGGGGGTGGGCCTAAACCCTACGGAGGGGGCATGGTGAAGAAAGGCAGTATGTGCACTGGTGAACGTCCCTGAACCACCGATACGTTTCTTCGGTACGCAGTGCACACCTGCTGCTGCAGTCGCTGCTGTCGGAGCGGCAAGGCAGAAAAGGAGATTAGGCTGCAGAAGTGGCGGGGGAGTCCCGGAAAATGCAAAAGACCAATGCATTTCCGGTCCTCGCGAGGAAGACATGGGCAGACACCGAGGAGAGAGCATCCCAAGAAGGGAAGTCTTCCCCGGAGTGCCATGAGTGCAGCAACGAAAAGGGAAAAAGAGGACCCAAGGTGAAGCATCTCTCACAGGAAATAGATGTACAGGTACGGGACCCTTCGTACAACTGTACAAATGCCAGTTAAAAGGCACTGTACAGCTCTCATTGACCTCATGTGCAGTCGCTAGGGTCTCACGGTGGCCTGGGATCCCACCTTCGGGCCGCCAGTCCGCTTTGCGGTCCCCGACCGAAAGCGAACTGGTACCGTCTGGCAGGGAGTAATAGCATGCCACCCTGAAACACAAAGCACTGCTCACTGCATCTAGCCGAGACCATCGAGGTGGCCGTCTCTGCCCGTGTCGGTGGTGTGGGTCTCCTTGAGGTCTTCGTCGTCGTCGTCCACCAGAGATTGCACAGCCGGTCTGGTCGTACCATCCTGGTGTTCGGGATTGGCAAGAGTACCCGAGGGAGTAGCGGCCTGCTCTGCAGCAAGTGCTTGGCGCTTGGCCTCCAGCTTGGTCGACAAAGTATTGGTCTGTTGAGTATGCACGGGCTGCAAAGGTGCCCCCTTGATAGGTTGGCGGGGTCGAGTCCTTGTTGCCGGGCTGGCCTTCGGCGCCGAGGTCGGGCTGCTGGTAGGAGGCGGTTCGACTCTGGGATGTGAAGGAGAGGAGACATAGGGCGCCACTGGATGGCTCCTCTCTCTGTTGTCCGACTCCTCGGCTGTGCGTGCGACAGCAGCCGTAGTATCCATGCCAGGGCCATGTGTGGAGGGCGCTGCGAGGGGGTGTCTCCCTCCATGACCCAAGCCCTGGCTGAGGATCGTCGCCTCCAGCAAACGTGCAGCCGCCTCTGGTGTCATCAAGCTTCCCAAAGCTGGATGTCCCAGACCAGTTGCCGTGGGTGGTCGACTTTGAAAGGCCCGCTGGAGTACTGCTTGAGGAGTCTCTTGCTCTTGTGTCTCCTTCCGCCAGGCCTCCATTGTTGCAGACCAATCCTCGCCGGGGGGGTCGTCCATGGGTGGTATCTCTCCACCCCGCTGGAAAAAGAGCCGCAGATTGCTGCGCGCTTCCTCTCTTGCTGAGACCGCGGCGGCAAGGTCCTTGTCGAAGTGTTCCATGGCCTTGGCATGCCGCTGCGATTCCCGTTGCAGCGTCTGTTTCATCTCCTCCTGGTACTTGAGCCAGAGCCGCTCCTTCTTTTCTTTGGCATTCATGAGGTTCCTTACTCGCTGTTCGGAACGTCTGGTCACATTGATGTGATCCTGGAGGTCGTTGGTCATCGTCTCTTGTGGATCGTCTTGTCGCATCAAACTGTCCTCGCCGGTCTTCCAGGTCTTGGCTTGCTGCTCCTTGCGAAAAGCAGCTGCACGGTCTTTGGAATCGTAGGCTGGGAAACTGGCCGGCTGGGGCCGGGTCTCTTCGTCCTGCCAGGAGTCTTGGCCCTGGCCTCGTCCACGGTAGTTGGGGCTGTAGGCTCCATGCCAATATCCCCAACGTGACCCACCGGATCCAGGTGGTTTTCCTCCGCCTTTCTTGCGATCCTCCCACGAGCGGCCCATTGCTGACCGATACCTGGGCCGGGTATGATGCTTCTGTAGTAGTTCTAAGTCTCTCCGTGGTGGCGGCTGGTGCAGGAATTGACCTCGCCGTACGCGACGTCGTGCTCGCGAACGCTGTAAACGGGCAGCTCGATGCCACGAGGGGCTAGCCACCGGTGCCGTTGCTATGGCGGACGTGCAGGATCCTACACTGGGGCTTCGGCGATCTCCACTCGGGAGTATTCTCGAGCCCTCAAAATAGCATTGGTGATTATTAAGGCCCCTATAGCACTTTGAGGCTCCGGCAAAGGGTCTCGTCGAATTCTGCGCCCGCGTGATACCTGGTCACAGTGCCACGGCTCTACAGGGAACTCCAGAAAGTTGGAATGTGAAATAATGGCAGGATCCCCTATAATCTACCTTAAAGGGATTATGATAATGATATTCCAACTTTCCGGCTTCTACTGTAGCCTAGTCTAGAATCTTTATGGGGCACTTTTGGGAGTATAAAAGGGCTCGATAGGGTCCCGTAAGAGCTTCATGAGGGTCCCATAGCTTCTTGACATCTGAAGAGCTTCACAGGGGCTCTATACTGAGACTGGAGTGAGGCTTGGCTTCCTGGAGTCGCAGGTCTGCCCGCTTACTTACTTTCCTGGAGCTTTGGGCGACGTATAAGCGGGTCTCTGCGGTTTAGGGCTTGGGGTTGCGAGAATCAGCGGTCTATATGAGGACCCTCACACTGGGCTGGGGTGGCGGGAGGTGGAGGTGCCTTGGGTTAAGGGCGGGTTCCGGAGTTCTGCTGCGCGCCGGGCGAATTCGCATTGAACGTTTAGGGTTTAGGCTTTTATTCAACCCATTGCTCAATGGCACGGTAGAGGCTCAAACTAACCCTTTTTCAAAGACTGCTTCCGGAGTCTTAGATCCTGAATGCTGTTGCAGTGGCCAAGTCCGGGCTACTTGATGTTTCTTTGTTCAAAGCAGTACGAAATCCCATGTATCATGTGGATTTACATACACAAATCCGATGTCGATGTGGAAGAGGGAATGCCATACAGAAAGGACATCTTGGAAGCCAAAGCCACTTTCTTGCCCTGAATCCGTTAAAGTCAGAACCAGAGCACCGAGCCTAGGCCTAACGGCCCTATAACGCTGAGACCCACGCCATTGTAGCGGGTCCAAACGTCGAAGGAATCCTCGCTCAGGGGTTTCGGGTTTAGGGGTTTGGGGTTTTAGAGGTTTAGGGTTCAGGGTTTAGGTGTATGATCACCATGTTTTGTGGCCTTTGCCCCCCCCCCCCCCCCCCCCCTACCCTACCCCAGCATACACACGTCGCAGACCCATGCGGCGAGTGCTGTGACATATGATTCGACCTTAGCCGACACCACCAAAGCCACTTCTACCCATAACTTTTCCCGCTTAACCATGATACTGTTACTAAACGGGTTCCTATGGGCGGGGGGGGTGCTGTAAGCGGTACTGCAGCGTATAGCTTTTTGGGCTGTCCATGCTTCCTGCTTTCGTTTGTTGATCTTCGTCTCTCCTCGCGATATGGACGTTTGAGATAACAAGAACCCCCGAACAGAGCCCAAAGACCCCAAGCTACCAAGAAGACCCTGCAACAGGAGCCTCGCTACCACGACCACGTCCTAACTCCCTCTTTCCAGCTGGGCTGAGTTCACATGTTGAGCTCGTTATTGTCAAGCTGCAGCAAAACCCTGGGATCAAAATAGCCCAAAAGCCTGATGTAGTATGGTCTTTGGGCCCGAAAGCTGTAATATATGAGTCCTTAGATCCCTAGAGCAAGAGAGCCCGATCCCACAACCTCGACCCTCGAAAATGGCAGCAAGCTGTGAAACGATCCCCCCCCCCCCTGCATCTGAACTCCTAAACACAATCTCGCGAACCCCTCCCTAAGCCTCCTAAACCCCTAAAAGATGCATCATATAGGAACCAGACTAAGAAACCTGGGGCCTATAACCCCAAAATAGTGGGATTCACAAAAGGAACCCTAATAAAGGCCCAAGGTTTCTTAATCAGGTTCCTCGAGGACCTATGAAGAAACAGGGGTCTAAGCAGGTTAAGCCCCTTAAGAACTCTGGAAGCCCAAGCCTACACCTCCGAAACCCTATGCATACCTATCAAGAGATAGAGCTTTAAACTTAAACAACTAAGAACCCTGGGAACTCCGGAAGGCCCACAGGCTCCATAGTAGTTCCTTTCGGGGATTACCTTTTTGGATTCTACATATGAACCCCAAAGAGGAACTACTATGGAACCTCTAACTAAGTGGGGTTATAAGTAGGGTTACGATAATTGTATAACCCATATTACGGGGCTTATCACCCCGCTTCTAACTACCCATGAACCTCCAAGTGTAAGTAGTCCTTACTTGGGTGGTTGTCAAAATTATGGTCCCTTTTTGGGTACCAAAAAAACTAGGCGCCGTACTATAAGAGGGACCCAAAACTACCAGAACTCCGGAAGGGGTTTTTGGGCTCCTGTGTGTAAGTTCCCTCATTCACCTCGGCGAGGCCGTTGGAGGAAGAGCCTCGGTGATAGACAGTTTAGGGCTTTAGGGTTTAGGGTTTTAGGGGTTTAGGGGCTTTAGGGTTTAGGGTTTTAGGGGTTTAGGGCTTTAGGGTTTAGGGCTTTAGGGCTTAGGGTTTTAGGGTTTAGGGGTTTAGGGTTTAGGGCTTTAGGGTTTAGTTTGGGTACGGCCCGCATACAGTAACAGTCTATAATAGGGCTACTATTAAGGGCCTTATATATCGACATTATGAATATTATCCAACTGCTACTGAGTGGGGGCCGTACCCAAAGTTTAGTTTAAGTCCACTGGTGAAGGGCTTAGAGTTCAAAGTTTCAGGTTTGATAGGGATCTGAATATGGCCTGTCCCAATGTTCGTTCTTGAGACCAAAAGCCTCAGGGGCGAAACTCGAGTGCAGCATTGGAGGACGCAGCTAGCGTGAAGACGGATCATGTCTGCATGTCTGAGGCGGGTGCATGTCATCTCCAACTTGCCGTGGTCCTCAGCCCATACAAGTAAGTACAGTGCTTCAAGGTCGAGAAGGAGTTCAAGTAGCTGTTTAGGGCTTCGGGGGCTAAGGAGTTTAGGGTGTCGGTGCGAAGTCCCTGTACGGATGCACGGCTCATGATTTTGTTCTGAGGGGCAGTGCTGTCGACAAGCAAGGGGCTCTCTCTGTGTGTCTATCTCAAGACTGTTCAGTACCTCACTGGGAAAAAGTATATACATTTCTTATTTTTTAAGCTTCTTATTTCGTAATAAGAACCCAGAAACCTGAAAGCAAAAAAGTGTACCACCGAACAGCCTGGATCTTGTAAAAGCTTGTAAGGAGGAGAGCCCAGAGAAGGAAAAACTAGAGACAGCCAACATATCGAGAAGGATCCCGGCTTAGGGTACCCCTCAGGAATAGTGCTCTCGACTTTTCAGGCTTCGATATTCTAGGGTTTAGGGTACGAGTTCAGGCTGACGGCTAGATATGGCGTCTTTTCCGGATGTCAGAGGGAGGATTTATACGATCTTAAAACAATACACACTGGTTGGTTGAAGGTTCAGTTCACCGGGCGGGTGGAATCGTGCAAACGGCTCTTGTCATGATTTCGAACCAGCCATGCGGGCATCTCCACATCTATAAGAGCTCCTTCCCAAACCCGTGCCTGCTGACTTCTGGCGTCTCCTATCGTCATCGATCCAAGTAGCCCTGAAGTTGCAACTTTAACAAACCCCAAAACCCTCAACCTCAAGATCCACCAAGAGGGAACACTAAGGACCCTAAACCCTTAAAAAAACCCAAAGCCCCAGCCCCAAAACGTAAAACCCTACCTTTTTCAAAGCTCCTTGACAGCTCCGAGCCCCGGACCAATGCCTCCGGATAGAAACGCATGAAGCCAGTCTCCATGTGCCTGGGACCGTAGGAATTTTGGTGCTGAGGGGGGTTGCTTCGGATCTGGGTAGTTGTCAAAATTATGGCCTCTTTTCGGGTATCCTAAATATTATGTGCCGTTTTATTTTAAGGACTCAAAAAGGGACTCTAATTTTGACAACCACCCATCTGGGTTTAAGGGTCAAAGACGGGATCGCTTCAGGCTCCCCCGTCTCTGAAGGGGAGTACTCTAGAAGATCCTGTAAAAGACATGGGTGGTTGTCAAGATTACGGTCCCTTTTTGGGTCCCTCATATATTATAGTACGGCACCTAATATTTAGGGTACCCAAAAAGGGGCCCTAATTTTCACAACCACCCACGTGCTAAGTATAAGTGAGACCATCTCAGAGGGGCCGCTGAAAATGTCGGCTCTGTCGGATCTCGGGACAGTGAGGGAGGACTTCGTACGGTTGATGATATAGATCCTGCATTACCCACAATAAGGAATATACCGTAATTCCCAGAGTTTAGGGTTCTTAAAGTCATGCAGGATTCATATCATCAACAGTAGTTCCAAGAGCCTCCGGTTCCGGGGATTCCGTGATTCCTGTGAGGCCTCTTCGCCGTACCCTGAGCCCCGACAATTGCCGAATACTTCGATGTTCAGGGCTCCATGTACGAACCCTGAACCCACAACCCCAAGCCGCTTACACATAAAGCGTAAGCCTTAAACCTTAAAGTACATTCCAACCCTGACAGCTTCGAGCTACCTCAAGCCCTGAAACCCTGCATGTCACGCTGAAACCAAAACCCTGCTTAGGGTTTCTGGAGGGTTCAGAGTTGGGGGGGTTCGGAAATCAGACAATGTGACGCCTTGTACAGCTTTACGCCAATTAATGGCTTGCTGACCCTCTTTTCTGAAGCCCTGTAAACTACCTGTCCTCTAGTCCTGTAGCCCCAAACCCCACAAAATGGGAGGCTCTCACTTCGTTGCTTATGAGGAATAGAATCACAAGATAGTACTTAGTTGGAGCCACAGGTACGTCCCGGAAGTCGATCGGAGATCTCATTTCATGATTAGAATCGGGTGTTGGGGGTACATGACTATAAAAAGTTAGAACGACCTACGGACTAT